CGTTGTGAGTGCCGTCAAGGAGGCTGCCCAGCCTCCACCAGCACCAGCAGAAGAGATGCAACCATACCACCTAGTAAAAATAGCTGGGGATGGCCGCTGTGGCTGGCGCGGAATCCTGGCTTCTGGTGACTTCAGCAGCTTCATATCCGTGCCAAGGTCGGGGTTGCAGTATGTCTGTCTTGGCCAAATCAACAGGCATTCTATCTTAGACTTCTCTTGATATGTACTGTATATAAACCAATACAAGTAGACTTTTTGCGAACTGTTGGAATGATGGCCTGTAGGAATGATAGCGGCTATCCAGTGAACCGTCGCCAAGACCAAATGGAAGTAGCTGAGTCCAGAGAGCTGTGCAATGATGTTTGTTCCCTGCCATGATTAGATCTCTCTCGTCTATGCATTTTTTTTAGTCCTTGGAAGAACCCGCCAATGCAAAGTCAAAGGTATGCATTCCATCTGTTGTTGCTAGGTGGGTTTCCACATTGTTCCACAGTTTTGAGCCTAAGGCGAACGTGCTATGACAATATTCCCACACTTGGAGGCAACAATTCGTGATGTGCAGAACACATCCGTCATTGGTGTGATTGACTTGCCTTGGATATCTTCTGCCTTGGGCAAATCAATCCGGCTTACGGTGCATCCTGAATTGATGGTTTGGATTCGGGAGTCTGGGCATGCAGAAATGCGAGAAGATACCATCTTCGGTGACCGTTCTGCTCCCATTGGGGTCCACTTCTACCTAAGCTGGCTTCGACATGAAGACGGGAGGAAATATGGGCACTTTGATATCTTGATGCCTTCCATGTCAAAGAAGGAGGAGTCAATGATGCTACTGCCAGATGCGGCTTGGCAAAGCTGACCTGTATATAATATGTATATATATAATATATATATAATATTGCATATGTACACTCTCAAAGGATATCATATTGGAACGTTTCCTAGGCACTTGTGGGGCCTCCTCCCAATTCTTTGAAACTCTTGCTCTATCAGGCCTGCTTCCATGGAACATGTCATAATTAACAAAACCCTGGCCCCTAAACCGTTTGTGAACTGGGACAGGACAGTCCAGCCGCGGCTTCTGGGCAGGAGCTGTTGGAGGACTTGTTGGAGGAGCCGGAAGTGTTTTTTTTTTCCATTGTCTGGTGGGCTCTGGTGCACAGATAGAATGCCAGGGTTGCTCTGTGGAACCATGTAAAAAATCGAAACAAAGCACTTGGCTCTAGCAGGCAAAATAGACCTGTATATTATATTTGTGCTCATGGCGCTCCTGTCATGCTTTGCAGCCGCTGCGGCGTTGCTGGTGGCTTCTTTCTTTGGAGATGAGAGGGCCACCGTCGAAGGTGGAAGTAATCTGACTGCTTTTGGGCTGGCCATCTTGGTCTTCCTGCTGTCAGAATGCCTGGGCTACCTTTGGGGCAAGAAAAGCATTGACTACAAGCATTGGTTAGAGCTCAAGGTAGAAAACACCCGTCTTCAGCAAAAGGTGGATGAACTATCACGCCAACTGCTTAGTCTGGAGGAGAAGCACGGAGCTGCTTCATCGTCGACCATTCAAAAAAATCGTGACTGCTGGCCACATCATGCCTACAGAGATTCTTGTGGCCAAAAAACAGCATGGTTTATCATGTGGATTGCCATCACGTGAGAAGACGTGGGGCCCAATTCACCAAGCTCCGTCCTTGTCTGGACTGTGCCGGCAGGAACTTGAAATAAGATGACGTATGATATGTGTGTGTACAGCCGGTAGAAAGGACCTCCGCCATAGTGGAGTTGGTGAGGAAAACATGCTGATGGATGATCTGTTTCGCCTGCGTTCTTCAAGTGTCTGTACTGTTACAACAACAGATGGAATGCATGTTTTTTGAAGGAGTTCATGGTTCAGCCGGATGAGCAGAAGGGTTTCATTCCTGAACCCCCAGAGGCACAATCACCTGGAATGTCATTTTCTGAGTTGCAGAGCCTGATGATGTTGACAGTTTTCCTTCTTTATGGACTTGCGCAGGCCCCAACCACGGAGCCTACCAAGATGGAACCCACCATGGAGACCCAACAGGTAGAGGGAGCAATTGTTTACAGCAGCTCACACACACAGATGGAATGTAGGCATTTTACATTTGTATTTATTTATATTGATCTATTATGTGATATTATGTGTTTATATACAGACTCTGGTTTGGGGCCGGTATCCACCTGACAGGCCTCTCCCATCC